TCATTTGTTGTTGATTTGGGTGTTCACACGTCACAGAACCCAGGAAGCAAACAATGGAAAATGAGAAATCTCCAACGAGGCGTTTTGGGGCAGCATAGACTGTGTTAGAGTTTTACTCGCTACAGGGTGTACTTTGAGGCTTTTTGACTCTGCAAACCTGCATAAAAACCTTCATAACACACAAGGGGATGGGTAATAACCGTAAAGCATGACATGGGCCCTTTAAAAAAAAGGTATAAGGACACCATTTTAACAAGATACAGAGATGACGTTGTTTAATCATAACTGGGTGTTTGCAGTTTATTTATTTATTTGGTTTGTTATTTCCTCTTTTCTTGAATATCATTTACCTCTGTTATGTATTTCTTTGTTTATTTGTTTGTTTATTTATCTGCTTATTTGTTTGTTTATTTATTTGTTGTTTTATGTTTCAATAATATATTTCTTTAAGAAAAAAAATAAATTAAATAAATACAAATATATATATATAGTATATGTTAGTAATTTAGTTTTTGGGAGAAGGGGGTGGGATTAAATAAGTGTAAACTTCTTCCCACCCCTTTTTGGATGTGTAATTAAGTAGATTATTTGTTTCTACATAATTTAGAATCAGTAATATTTTTGTATATCAATTTGACACTGATTAATTTGGTATTGTATAATAATTCTCATGTTACATTTTTGTATTATTGTTTTACACATTCGAAATAAATCTAATCAAATCAAAATGATTTAACCCTCATAGTTACTTTTTTATATATAAAAACACATGATGTCTAAATGATATGATGCAATACTTATTAAATTGGCTGCAGGTTAAGAAACTGCAACATTAAAATGCTCTTCTGTGAAAAGATTCCATATGCATAATGAGATCTTTGATACTTTAAGTACATTTAGTTTATAATATAACTGTACTTTATTCCGAAATTACATACTTTTACAAAAGAACATTATTTAACACTACAGATATTACATCTGAAAAATGAGAACTTACTCTTTGAAGCTAACCATCAAGTTCATCTTGACGCTAACCCTTTTGTACTTAAGTATAAATGCTACTGTGGATGTGAGGTAGTGTGGTTTTACCTCAAGGGGAAGGTTGTGGGTTCGATTCCAGCCCTTCAAGTCAACATGTCGTGTATACGAACGAATGGTGTTTGAATATTAGCTTATTTGAGCAAATGGCACAGCTCTGTATGAATGGGGTGTGATTGGGTGAATTATGACTTGTTGAATTTAATCAAAACAGTCCATGTACCATTTAAGATCAAATCGTTTTTACTTGTACTTAATTAAAGGATCTAAAAATGTCATCCACCAATGTTTGAAAAGGTCCCTCCCGTACTGGCTGGTTTGATAGTGCAGATAATCTTTCATTTTCAAAACTTTAATTTAAGAAATGTGTGAAAATCTCACAAGAAATGAATCACGAGTCACACAGCTATTTCAATACCTTAACTTTTTAAATGACCACATTATCACCTAAAAGAAGGCTAACTGTACAGTATGTGAGTGCAAATGCAAGATAGGTTCTTGGAGAACCGTTTGTCCTGTTACTTTGATTGAACTGTTGCTGAACTCGTGTTTTCTTTTTACAAATCAGAAAGGATTACATAATCAAATCTGAAGTTTGTCACATCATCAGGAGCAGCAGCTAGCTGGCAGAGACGTCCGAACACTGATGTGACAATATGACTTTCAGTCAAGCTCTATAATTGCATGTTAAACCCATGTTATTCACGTGTCGCTGAGCAAACATAATGAACGAAAAAACAAATCACAAGAAAACTGAAGGCAGGTCTCTGCAGCACGGTGGTATGCATGTACACACACATGTTTGAGTGTAGCGTGCACATTAAAAAGGGGGAAGGGTGAGGGATCTTTGTCAAAGGGCAAACACACCCGCTCAGCGCTGCCGAGAACAACTCCTCAGGCAGGAAGCTGACACTGTGCATCAGTCAGGGCACAGAAGACAACACCACCCACATCTCCCGTGATTCCTGACAGCATCCCAACCTCCTCAAACCAAAGCTGACAGCTCGAGACGTTCTCGCATCACAGGGAAACGCGACTCGCTCTTTTTTATCCAGCCGCAGCTCGGCATGAAATGAAGAGTGTGGAGAAAGAAGACATGCAGAAAGGGAGAATGTTCTGAGACTTCTCATAGGGAACGAAGAGGGGAAAAGGGCAGGAAGAAGAAGGGGTCATCGGTTTGAAGGAGAAAGAGGAAGAGAAACTAGAAAGGAAAGAAAGAAATACAAAAACAAGTGTATGAAAATGCCAGTGAGGAGGAAGCTCAGTTGTGCTTTTAGTATGTTCAAAATGACAATGCTGATGTGTAGCTTAGTTTAGCGTCTTAGCATAAACTAAGCTAAACATGCTTTTTCTGGTATTTCAACTGGACAAATAACACTTTTGACACAATGGTGGAAGGAGGGATTTACTACAAATCATCGTGACAATTTCTGTTCCAAAGTTAATGGCAATCCAGTCAATATATTTTAAGATATTTCATGAAAACCGATAAAGATTATTTCAATCGTTCTACACAAAACTCCATCCAGTATGTTTGGTATTTGGTCTTCAAAAATGCATACAACAGGCCCGAAAAATAACATAGGTAGGAGGAAGAGAAGAGGACAAAGGTCACGATGGAGACTGAGAAGAACATAAGGAAGATGAGAGGGAACAAGAAACAAATAGAATCAAACACGGGAGACACAAACACAGAGGAGGAGAAGAATAAAATCAAGAGTATGAAAAACATCAGGGAGGATGATGAAGAACAACAAGCGGAAGGAAGATGATGAAGAAACCTAATGAAATGTCCTATCAGAAGCCAACTTCCTTTATACCAGTGACCATCAACTGGCGGCCCGCGGGCCACATACAACGGCCCAATCCCAAACCACGCCCTACATCCTACCCCTACACCCTACCCCTCCGTTTGCGCGGAGGGTCCGCCACATTAAGTGCTGTTCCAAACCAACGAGTGTGGAGCGGTGTGGAGGGGGAGTGGGTTATCAAGCCATCAAACAGAGAGTCTGCATCGGTGCTGACTGGAGACTGTTCTCTACCTGACCGGTCTCAACGCTGTGTGTGTCCGTCAGGAAACAAGCTGTTAACAAGTAGTTCCTGCAAACAGCAGTAGCCCCGCTGCGACAGAGTCCAACAGAGAGGCAGGAGCTGCGGGACAGTAGCCTAGAAGTGGCCCGCGAAAGCGTCCATTGGATACATTTTGGCTCTTGGACAAATGTAGTTGGTGATCCCTGCTTTATATTCTCACATCCAGCCATTTGCTCATAAATGTCACATCATCCCCCAAAGTGGTCCTTTTCTGCTGCAACTCTTCACTTTCTGACAGTCACATCCTGAAAATGATATCCAGTGGTGGGGTGAACAGCTCATCTTGTACTCTGATCATCAAGTTCTCAAATCTATCAAATACTTCTGTTCTTTATCTCTTTGAAATTATTCTGTGTATCATCTCATAATGAAACGCATGTATCAAAAAGAGTCTTTGATGAAACACAGAGAGAGTTCGTCGTTTGTGCAGGGATCCTTTTGGGAGCAGAGAGGCACTCACCTTTAGTGGTTTCGTCTTCAATGGGCTGCTTGGAGAGAGTGATGTCTTTAAAGGTGCAGAGGAACAGAACCACTTTGTCGTTCTCGTTCCTGATGGGAGCCACTTGCATGTAGAACCAAACCGGACTTCCTGCAGAGACATTAGAACATTTCAATTCCTAATTAGCTCTGAAAATAGTGAGGACTGCCCATCACAATTTCCCAGAGCCCAAAATGACATCTTTCCCATCAGCAAAAACATGTGGGTTTGCTATCCTGGCTCCAAAATGGTGGAATGAGCTCCCCATTGAAATCAGGACAGCAAATAGCTTACACATCTTCTGGCGCAGACTGAAAACTCATCTCTTTTGACTCCACTTCGAGCGATAGAATTACTAACAAAGCACTTGTATACTAATAAAGGGCTGGCTTATCTAAAGCCAGTTGAGTAGCACTTGAAATGTTTGGCTCTATGAAACCTGATGTACTTATATGATTCTGTTTTCTTCAAGGTTGTATCTTCCTGGTCGAATGTACTTATTGTAAGTTGCTTTGGATAAAAGCGTCAGCTAAATGCAATGTAATGTAATCTTTAAAGGTTTTGTTTTGTCCAACAAACAGTCTAAAAACTTAGTTTACGATGACATGGCAACACAAATACTCAAACTCCACATAATTGTAGTATATTACAAGAAATAACATCAGTTTGAAAACAACTTAAGGAACATATCATACAACAAACAATGATGGCCGACATGAATTCACTATGGACATTTACCATCTTTCAAAGTGTACTTTCTTGAGTTAATGTACACAAATTAAGTATCTCTGTTAAATTTCAACATGTTCTTGAAAAACTGCATTTTTATTTAATGTCCACGCTTACATTCTAAATGTCATTGCTTTTACTTGCATGTTATGTTGTTCTGAATTAAAAATTAACTTTGACAATTAAAACCAGAATTTGTTTTATTATTCCGACAACACAAGGTCCTCCATGTTTTGTGCATTGCATCGATTGGCCGAAGTGTAGTGCTGTATCTACAGCAAAATCAAAAATTAATTATAGTGACATTTTCTAGATTACTTTTCTTTCAAATTGTTCCCAGAATAAGCACACTGCAGACTCAAGTTGTGTTTAAAAGTGATAAGCTATTTGGAATTGTGACACAGCTTCAGCATCATCACAAATCAACTGTTAAATGACATTTGGGGACTAACATTAAATAAGATGATTTTATTTTGTAGAACAAATGCAGCCGTGCTCACAATAAAAGTAAAAGACTTCGCCTACTGTCCCCGATCATTTTTAAGAAGAACAATGTGATCCTTCTGCTCTCCTTCCTGTCCACAGCACATGACGTTGCTTAATTCTACCCTTATTATAACTGATGTGGTTTTAACAGCTTAATGCTAAGGTCATCACTTTTAGGGAACTCACTGTTTCTCCTGCTCAAACTAGCCGAGATTTCCGTGACTTTATTGCCTCCTCACACACTTTTAGGAGAGTTCAACAAAGTTTCACACACCTTACTGTCATCATTTCTGTGGATACAAGTGGTTTCTAGTCAAGATCAATTTCATTTATATGCAGCCTCCATAAAGCGCTTGAGTTGTCAGCAAATTTGAGCCTTTTTAAAATGGATTCTGCCTCTTCCGCCTCACATGGTGCACTCGTAGGTGATCGCTCCAAGGAGACAAAGACCTTTGGGAATATTTTCGTCTGCACACTTTGTCCGCTCTGCTCCTCACTGCTGTATGAGCTCTCTCACACTGACCTAACGAGTCTACTGCTTTTATACCTCTTCAAACTGAATACCTTCAACAGGTCAAGTTAAAGATATATTTCATCCATATGTTTGACTTAATATACATTTGGATTTATTAAATCATTCATATTCAGATTTTATCGTACATCCATCCATCCATTATGCGGATATTAGCAGTGGTTCCTCGAACACGAAGAGTATGGATAATAAAAAATAATGGAATTTTAACATGGTGCAAAAAGTCCTTTCCAGAAAAAGTGAAATCAAAACAAAAAATGTAACTTATTAAAAAGATATATTCAAATACTTAATAATTCCTAGTCCTGCTCAATTCAGATAGGACTGTCAACACAACATAAGCAATTCTGGAAAATTATAATGATGTGATTTCCATTGTCCACAACAACTAAAAAAGCGAAGGATTAATTAGTTGATGAACCAGCTTTAACTGAATGTTTGTCCACTTAAAGACAGCAGAAATTACGTCGTGATATCAACACCTATTTGGCAAACTTTTGAGAACATAGTTGTATATTTTCACTTTGAGCAGTAAGAGAGAAACATGATCACCCCTGTAGAGTCACATGATGTGTCCACCAGATACATTGAGTCCAATGTACACTTTTGTAAACTTTTAGTTCGATTTTTTGTCAGACTATTTAGCCGCAAAATGCTCTCGAACTGGTCTCTAACTATCTGTGTCTGCTGTTTGCTGCTGAGTAGATAGTGGACAGTGGGCTTTTAAAATCAAGCTACCTGCAAATGTGAGAAATGGTGCTGATAAAAGCAGTAAATAAACCAAACACTCAAATGTGGGAAAAAAGATTTGTTCTATTTTTCAGAAAAGCAGCTCTGTAAAAAATATGTTTGAAAGAAGAGGTGAAAAAAGCCAAGGAAAACTAAACCTTGGTCACTTCTACTTCTTCAAAATAACATTGGAGCACCAACAAGCCTCCTAGTATTGTGTTAAAAAATAAATAACCTGATCAATATTACCACAGCTATTACTACAAAAGTGTGAAGGTAAACAAGAGAAACAAGACAAGTGCTAAGATTGAGAAATGATTAAAAAGTGCTGTTTTAAGCTTCTGAAAAGTGATGTTTTTATGCTTTCCTGTTTTCTAAATTCTTGGAAGTTCAGTGTATTTCGGTTTTAGACTGTTAGTTGGACAAAGCAAGAAAAAGAGTAGTATTTTTTGCAATTTCCTTCGATTTTATAGATCAAATTTACAGCTAAGGTAAGCACTCAACAGAGTATTTGATAATGAAAACAATGATACATGGCTGAAGTTGTGAATGTATTGAGCACTCACTATTCTTTCTGTACAGCAGGATCTCGAAGCAGTTGGACTCATAGTTGTCGAACGTCTGTCGGACTTCGTCGATGGACTTCTTGTCCGTCAGCTCTCCGTACATAAAACTGGAAAGGGATATAGACAAAATGAGACGCAATCAATACTGAGATGACCCTTTAATCTTTGCCCTCTGTGTCACAGTAAACCCAAAGTGTTTGTAACTGCATTGTCAATCCGTTATCTTACCATGAAGCGCCCATTAAGTGTTGTGCTTGTTTTATAGAGTAAATTATTTCAGCAGCAGCATGAATCCAGTTCACAGTTAAGGATTGTGGATTGGTGCAGCCTGCATTTCCTGGCTTCGTTGTAATTATTCCTTAAAAAGGGCTGAGGACATTTTAATCAGTGCTAATATAATTAGTCTGAGTGATTAGCTGCTTTCCCAACAGCTGCAGTGTCTTCAAGGACACACCCACCCACACACACACACACACACACACACACACACACACACACACACACACACACACACACACACACACACACACACAC